ACTTGAAAAATGAAAGGAAAGCCCACACAGTATGGTAAAACCAACAATCAACATTTAATTTGTATGACTTTTTCATATTAATAAATAATAATATGTATACATTTGTCGCTACAAGAAATAAAACAAACATTTGTATGATTGTATTTAGCTTTTAATCTATTTCACGCAGCCTTCTTCTATCTTCGTGAAATAATTCACCCCCTCCTGTCACGTCCCTGTTACTTTGTCACGCGATATTTGTACGGAATGTTTTGAAAGACTCGTGAGCAAAATTTTACATCGTGATAAAATGGCGTATTTCTTATATTTTGTTTAGATTTTTTAGTTTCCTCCTGTTATAAAGGGTTAAATTTATTATTAGTGGAATGGAAATGGCTTGGATGGAAGAGTAACAAGGCTGAATTGTTAACAAGCGACATGGGATGACAAAATGGCGCCGAATTTGGACAAAGTTGTGGATTTACCTTGTCGATGGTTAAACAGGTATGATGTACTTGAAACCAAGTTGAAACTTGTTTAAAATGTTCTTGATACCATTATGTCTGAGATGATTTACATTTTTTGTAGGATGTCGACGAGATCGCCGATTAACAGCGGAGTAAAGTGGAGAACTTGGCCAAATACGTCCATTTGCAGGAGGTAGGCACATTTCAAATTATTATTTCGGTCAGAAAATATTAACTATTTTACACCAAACCAGTGATAATATATTTAAATAAGTACCATTTATGTTTCTATCAAAACGATTTAGGGAAAAAGGTAATGTAAATCCACTGCTGTTTATCTGAATTTGCAAGCCACAAATTGACGTTTAACTATGATTATTGCATGGCCATTTTCTTGTGAAATATTAGTGCTTGGCATTTCACACTTACCAATGACCACCCCCAAAAGTACCATCTCTGAACCATATAAGCACCTCAGAATAGCCAAAGTTTTTATGGTTTGGTAGATAGCAGTATGGCGAAAGCGTCGTTTTTGGGTGTGGTCAGTTTCGGACGTTTCGCCCCGGATTGGGGTTCGGGCAGCGTTACCATGTTGACCGCCATGGTCAACTTACCCTAAAACAGTTGAGATTATCTGTCCTAAATGAAATGCATACAAACTCATATACAGGTCCTAGACTACAGGGAGTAATTAGCATTAGTATAGGGTAAAAATAGACTTTTAAGTCGAAACGTTTGTTCGAAAAACAAAATCAAATGTGTGGTTATTTCGTAAAAAAACCTTTTCCTATGCATTTTACTTACATATACACAATATGTAATGCATCGTACTGTAACAGTGGTAGGAACACTAAAACATTTGCATCCGATTTCCGAGCTTATAGCGATAAAGTAAACTATGTTTTGAGGGGGCCAAATTTCCGAAGGGGGGGCCAAGTTTCCTAGGAAATATGGCCCCCAGGGGGGGCAAATTTCCTAGGAAATTTGGCCCGGGGGGGCCAAATTTTGGGGGGGGGGACAAATTTCCTGGGACACCGGCACGCGGATATATTTTGGCCGAATTTTGTTATTCCCTCACGGATTTCAGAGCGAATTTAAGCTCTTTGATCAAAGTGATCAGCAGTGACTGCTGATCCGCCAGCATGATCCAATATATAAAATACTGTTGATCCAATACAAATATGACGGTTATAATTAAGAATTAGGCTACAGTGAAAATAGCCTGCATGGCAGGCGGTCTAAAATACCGCCTGCTGGGTTTGGCAGTGTAATTTGATAACCGCCCACTTTTTTGTCCGGGTCCAATTAGCCAATCAGCAAACACTAAATATATTAATAATCAAACTGTCAAACTATGTTATTGTTTGGATCGCAAAATTGCAAATGTATAAAAATATGTCGAGAGAAACGCCATTGAAAGTTTCAGGTAGAAAAGCAAGCGCGGAAAATGTAAATGACTTGTCGTTTGTTTAAGTGTGCTTTGAAACTAAAATACGGGGCAATACGCCAATAGAGAAAATATCTTATATTCTTATATATCGTCGGAGAAATTATTTATTTAAGGCAAGCAAAAGAAACGTTACGACAGTGGTAAAACCTTGGCCGAAATAAGTCGAATTGCCGGTTCAGTTCATTAAGGAATCGAAGTTAATTCTACCTCGGAACTATCCGACCAAGTTTGTAAACCGTGTAAGCGAAATATCCGAAATGCAAGCGAACTGATTGCCATTTATAATCAAACGAGACATAAACGCGTTGCCTGTGTACGTTCGAACAAATAGACCAGGGGCCGCGGAACCGGGGGGGCAATGGGGGCATGTGCCCCCCCACTTTTCTTAAAAATGAAAAAGTGCCCTTTTTTCTGGGCTAAAATGCCCCATTTAAAAAACGAAAAAAGTATTTCTTGAATAAACGCCCTCTTTTTCTGGAAAGAAAATGCCCTTTTCGCAGTAGTAAAGACTCTGTAAAGGCCATTTCCGACGTTAGAGAGACTCCATATTTTCAAAAATTTTCGTTCGGTTCGTGAACGTCATAAAATCGTTTGATTCTGGTCATATACAAAAGTGCCCCTTTCGGTCAATGCCCCTCCACTTTCGAAATGCTTCCGCGGCCTCTGAAATAGACAGTTGTATATTAAAAACCTCAGTTGCCAATACTAACTGTCTCATCTCCCTAACGAAGCTGTGTGGTAACGAAAGCCTTAAAAAGTTTAGAAAGTGAAGCGGCTAATAGGCCTAGGCGGGCTAGGCGTAATAGTCCTGTTATTGTTATAAAACCCGTTGCAAGAAAGATTATGCGGCCGTCTGTATCTATTCTCGTTATGTTTTCTCGCACCAACAAGAACAATGTAAAAATCAGGCTTTTCCCATAGAATGGCCAAAACATTCTTTCCAAGGAGTAAATCTTTAACTGCTATCTCTTGCTCGCGTTTGACAATCAGTTTGCGTTTCGACTTTCGAGAAGCGTTCAGTTTTACAACACCTATTAATTAAAGCGAACGCATGCACATTAAAGTGTCAAACTTTAAATACATATTAAAGTGTATTCACTTTTGAGTGACAGCGGCTCAGACTCGCAGCCAATCATCAATTCCCGTCCACTGGTGGACGGGGAATTCGATTACACTGCCAAACCCAGCAGGCGGTATTTCCCAGGCTTGCCCAATTTTAGGAACCGCCTGCCATGCAGGCCACAGTGAAACGGAAACATTTGTCGCCATGTGATTCATATATAAGTACTTACGTCTTAATTCAGTGCGCTTGTTCACCACACCAATAACTCGTGTTGTATAAATCATGAGGCATATATGAAAGATCAAGGTTAGCAATATTAAACCTATAGTGTATTTGAATCCTCGTTTCCTCCATTTTATGTCGACATACTTCACAGCTACTGGATGACGCAAGCAAACCTCGCATGTTTTCTCCGCCATTTGGCCCAGAGCTTCAAAAAGAGGACAGCTACCATTCTTATCTTTATGTAAAAGAAAGCAAGATGGTAGTCATATATGAACCCGATATGAAAGGCTGACCCACGCATTATGTGAACGAAGGCTTTCATTGTTGATTGTACCCGTTTCAGATAATATTTACAGACTCGTGCATATCCGGCAAACTCTCTTCAAATGTCTCAAACGGGCACAAATAAAAATGGACGCCATTTCATGCCTATTTCTTGTAACTATCTGCCGCACTGCAATTAGGCTGCCTATACGGACTAATTTATCTCAAAAAATAATACAATGCTGTGCGTCAACCTTCCCAGGAAAATACTACCTTGCGTCAATTACCTTTTGATTCAAGGCAAAAGAAATCATACATAACTTGATAATCGTCTGGATGGTCTTTTGTTCCTTTAGTAGTTACACATTTATCTAATAACATATTCGCCATATAAGGCATGCTGTCAATCATCATTGCCAAACATCTTTCAGGGCCATAGCAAGACGTATTCACCACCTGGGAAATTAATAAATAAAACGTGGTATTCGTATTTGAAAGATAACCAAGAACAGGAGTAGTAAGTACCTTGATACTAAGCTTTCTCCTGTCTAAACACACTTATTAAGGAAGAGATTAAGTTAAGTCCTTCTTTCATGTGTCCTACCATGTGACAGTAGCTGAGAACTACTAACACACTATTAAGCCAGCAAAGCCAAAATAACAACCCGCACATGGATCGTGACTAAAACACCACACGAGTACATACGAGTAACATACGAGTAACACACAAGTAACACACAAGTACATACGAGTACATACGAGTAACACACCAGTACATACGAGTAACATACGAGTACATACGAGTAACATACGAGTACATACGAGTACATACGAGTAGAATACGAGTACATACGAATAGAATACGAGTAAAATACGAGTAGTAAACTTGTTTTTAGTGTTTGTAGATTGAATGAAGGCAAAAAGATCGTCTTCTCTGTCGAAAAACGTGGAATGGGGGAATGGAGGAACGGGGAATGGGGAACGGGCAATGGGAAAACGGGGAATGCGGGAACGGGGGAACGAAAAACGGGGGGGACAGGGGAATCGGGGAATTATGAATTATTATCAATACGTAATATTAATCATATGTACGGGGGGAAAAAGAACAGAAAAAAGAAACAGAAATTCGACAGGATAAACGGCAATCGGGGAATTACGAAACTATAAAACGGACTCTGGTGTCTTGGGAATTAGAAAACCGCTCAATGAATTAAAACTAGTAAAGAAATTTAGCGAAGCTTTCCTTTATTAGTACAGCGTATCATAAAAAGGTCAATCCACATTGATTATGTCCGACCATTAAGTAATATTAATAACAATAACATTGCTTATGTCATTACTAATATACTTGCTATATAATAAAACAAACTTAAGGACTAGATGCAAGCCCAAGGCGGTCCTTATGCTCCATATGATATCTTAAAGTGATTATCCTATTTTAAATATCTTACAAAGCAAAACTAACAAAACACAAAATACTTCAAAATACGCAGATTTTAAGCTAGCAATTTAAGTTGGCAAGTACGTTTCTAAAGGACCCAGCCGAACTCTCCTGCAAGCCTTTGGACGTGCTCCACCTTGAAAAGGGAAGGAAAGTCTGGAGGAACGAGAACGTCGCCAAGAAAGCTTGGATACTTTGCTCTGATGCAGGCTGATCGGAAATGAAAATGCACGTTCTGAGGCTCACTTGAAAACTGGATTTGTCCTGCAGGGCCTTTTTTAACATACAAGCTGAGGGGGGGGGCATTCCCCCCCCAGTCCCCCCTTGTGCCCCCCCTGCCTCCTCCGCAGGCCCTCGTTGCGTCATGGGAAGGTCATGATCTGGCGAGGGCCTGCGGAATCTTGTAAAAACAATGGCGCCGGCGTCACGTCAGCAAGTAAATTTCTACATATCTTGAATACAAACAGATATAAAAAAGCGGTGTGAAACTTGTAAATTCAACTGGCGACTCTTAGGACGTGGAAGGAAGCATTTTTAACGATAAGGTTTCTTGTCCACACCAACGTTGCACGAATAAAACTGCCTTCTTTAACGAAGCAGGTTCAAAACAACATTTATTCATTTTACAAGATTCCATTCAGGCCCTCTCGAAATCGTGACCTTCCCATGACACAACGAGGGCCTGCGGAGGAGGCAGCCCCCCCCCACGAAATCACATTTTGCCCCCCCCCCCAGAAAAAGTCCTTTTTCCTAAATTTATACAAACAAACCAGCGAAGAATAACAAATTGATAAGCGGAACGTAAGTTTTAGGCTTTATCCTTTGTCCTTGTTTAACGAATCGATTTAAAGGACTGTGTCACCGCGTGCGCATCCTACGTGTTTCTAACACTAAGTAATGATAAATTATTGTTAATATTTTTTAAATTCTTTGTGCGTTTTTTCCTTCTTTTATTTCAAATAGAAGTATAGTTAGGATAAATTTTAGAGCAAATTTAGATGCTCAGACGGCAGGAAATGGCACTTTTGGGCTTCAAATTTCAAAACTTTTCTGGGGAAGTATGCCCCAAACCCCCCTATTCATTCACGGTATGTCGGCCACACACGGCCATTGCTATCCCCCTTTAATAATAAGTAATGGATAAATTATTGTTAATATTTCTTTTATTTTTTCTGCATTTTTTCCTTCTTTTATTTCAAATACAAGTATAATTAGCATAAATTTTAGAGCAAATTTAGATGCTCATAAAGCAGGAAATGGCATTTGAAAGGTTCAAATTTAAAACATTTTCTGGGGGAGTATGTCGGCCACACACGTGGCCGTCGGCCTTTGATATCCCCCTCTAATATATTATCTCACAGAAAGGTCCCTTTTCAAAAAATGGCCCCCCCCCCCACGGGAAAATCCTTAAAAAAGGCCCTGTTGTCCTGTATTTCGGTCTCGGAACTGTCGTATGTCGTCACGGTATACGTTAACTGTGTAGTTCGTATATTTGCCTAGCCACATGTTGTAATTGAGGCTATGTAAGGATTGTAAGTTTATCACCTAGTACTATTTAAGTATAGATGCAGTTAGGTTATGTGCATGCTCACAGGGTTTTGAAAGCAAACCATGCCGTGAAATATGTGAAGCCTATGGTCTGTGTCATGTATCTAACTATCTAGGTAGAATACCTAAAAGTAGATGTTGTGCAAACTACAAAGTTGTGGTTTATAGAATCGGGCAGACCTCCCCCGCCCCCTATTCCCCCCCCCTCGCCCCACCATTCCCTCCGTTCCCCATTCCCCGTCCACCCATTCCCCGCCCCCCAATTCCCCGTCCCCGCATTTCCCGTTCTCCCATTCCCCGTTCCTCCATTCCCCATTGCCCGTTCTCCCACTGCCCGTTCCTCCATTCCCCGTTCCTCCATTCCCCCATTCCCCGTTCCCCCATTCCACGTTTTTCGACAGAGAAGACGATCTTTTTGCCTGTATTCAATCTACAAACACTAAAAACAAGTTTACTACTCGTATTTTACTCGTATTCTACTCGTATGTACTTGTGTTTTACTCGTATGCACTCGTGTGTTACTCGTATGTACTCGTATGTTACTCGTATATACTCGTATGTTACTCGTATGTACTCGTGTGTTACTCGTATGTACTCGTATGTACTTGTGTGTTACTCGTATGTTACTCGTATGTACTCGTGTGGCGTTTTAGTCACGATCATTGTGCGGAAGTTGAAAATTACACTTCTACGTTTCAAATGGCAGTTGTAAAGTCGACTTATAACTGATATAAAAATGGCGCATACTGAATGTGATAAGCTTTCGTGCTTATATATCAGTACTTCGATATATATACAGAGTGACTTTCTTGCATAATATATATATGTTATTTACCGGATTAGAGGTCCGTAATCGTATAGAGAAATATTTCTCGAGGTCTTAAAAACGGCTCGAGGCCGAAGGCCGAGGGACGTTTTTAAGACCGAGAGAAATATTTCTCTATACGGACCGACCATACCGGTAAATAATATTTTTTTTTTTTTTTTAATTCCTCCTCTGGATTTCCCCAATCACTCCTCCCGCACGCGAATGAAGCTGCCAAATAAAACGTCGTTTCTATCAATGCTATCGGGAAGAGTAATATCTTTTGTGAGATAGTAAAATTCGCTTTCACTGTGTTCTTCATCGTCTGCAGATATTTTAATATTTTAAAAAGTAGCCTTTAAACTCGTCTTTAAATTTTTAAAAATAAAAACATTGGCTCTACGGCTTTAAATCTCGCGCGGTCCGTACGGGCTCATACGGACCGCTCACGTGGCCAATCAGATTGCAGAAAAGCGTAAAATATGACTTCGGACCGCAAGGAAAAAAATAAAGTATGCTATGCTTTTTATGCGTTTTAGGATCACAGTAATTGGCCTGAAGCTGTTGTGATTTCCTGTCACATTTGTAATGTTATATATGTAATGATTGTTATTTGTCATGGATGTATTCTTGTAGTGACAAAGCTTGTAAAATTAAAATTAAAATTAAATACTAGCCGGCCTAAAATGAATCTCAGGGGAAGCGAAAACGCGGATAGAGATCCCGTATACGCCCGGCGTAGGATTTTTACTTGCCCTAAATTTCCAAGTCGGCACTAATTATCCAAGAGTGGGCACAAAATTCCCTAACGTACTGAATGTCAGTTTAAGTTACAAACGTAAAAACATACAAAAATAGTTAACTCTGCACCCAACCGGCCAAAGTACACAGACCAAATTTTCAACAGCAAAGAAAGATAGGCCGACCTCTGGATACGTACACTATACGGCACAGTCTTTGCGTAATAATTAGCGCCCTTCTTTCTGCCCACTAGCGTCTGTGACGCAGACTACTGGATACGCATTTGAACACGCATTTGATTTATTTTCAACAAATAGAATGACAATTTTAGTTTCAATTTCTATTTTTCGGGCATAAACTTTGGAATTGGAAAACCTTGCTATATAATAATAATAATAATAATAATAATTTATTAATTTGTACCGCGCTAAAACTATAGAATATATATAAAATTATAGCAGAAAGGGCGTATGGAAAAGCACGAGTCTTGCGATACGAAGTCTAGTTGGTATATTTATCTGTATGTGGCTGTCAAAAAAAAGTAAAGTTCACTGCTGAGTGCTGAGATTGATTTCAATCCGGCTTCATTAATAAGCTATTTGCAAGCCGGAATGAAGGCACGTTTTTCGCAATAATTGTTGCAACAACAACTTACTTTTGATATTTTTAGTTGTTCCGGTGTTCCGTGTTCCGCAATCATGCTGTTCCGTGTTTCGGTATTCTTGGTTTTACTAACAGCCAATCATGAGATATGTTAACAGAGATATGTTAACAAGCTTTCGTTGGTATAGGGATGCAATTAAATTCTCTTTATATTTTTAGGTATAGTTGCATCGTTACCAACGAAAGCTTGTTAATACTTTTGGCACTATCTACACTGGCTCAGACAGTTCAATAGAAATATACTGTATGTTAATCTTCTTTCCATAGCAACTATAGCAACAGCTGGCAAAATACAGCTGGCAACAATCACCTGTCGTATTCCTGAATTGTTTTATATTCCTTTGTGGCTCTGCTTTCATCTATTCGCAATGACTGAAATTACAGACCCAAACGTGTTAGATCAGTTGGAAAACTTTGGAAAAGCAACGTGCTTAATACGCGTGCCTGGTCAATTGAAAGGCACGGGTTTTCACTTTGGCAGCGGATGGGTAATGTCTGTAGCCCATAATTTCCAAAATGCTACAGATACTCCACAGTTGCACAGTCTGTTATCAAGGGCAACATTCACCTTTACTGTCAATGGAGAGCATTATAATTTTGGCGCTCAAGAAAATCGTATGGCTTTTATACACCACTTGCAACTAGGTCCAGGTAACCAAGTCGATCCAATCAACATGGACATCGCGATGGTGAAACTGGGCATTCAGTACCAACAAGGCCGTACAAAGGAAAGTGACTATGAAGCTTGGGAAACAGGCGAACAACGTAAATTAAATAGCATGAATTTGATTTGTTTTGCTGACATAGAAGAGCGACAAGTCATTGCTGGAAACCAAGTGTATGCTATCCACTATGGTGGCGATGATGACAACATGAAGAAAGAACAGCACACTATCGTAGCCGTGACAAACACTTGGGCTGGCGATACCATATCAGTCATTCCAGTTATCAAACTGCAGCGCCCAATTCAAGCTGGAGCATCGGGTTGTCCAATATTAAGTAATGATTTCAAGTTGGTGGGTCTTGGTTTCTGTGCTAATAATGCTAACGGTTTTGCCTTGCCGTGGAACGATGGTAATCATAGTATAAAACAATATATCAGTGATGGTGTTGAAATTATTGCACAATTTGAAAGATACCTGGCATTGAAAGACATACAGGCTCAAGTACAAGCCGGAGAATTAAGGCAGACACTGCTGCAAAAGGCGGAACAGTTAGACCTAACAATCTATCTGATGAATGGTGTGATTTTGAATGGACCAAATTAAATTATAACAGCTCAGTGTAACTACTTGTCAGAGACAGCTATAATATTTGCATGCGAAAAAATGTAGACATTTTGCATTTATCCAACCTTTGTCTAATGTATTTATTGTCCAATGTTTTCATTAAAATTGTTTTTCTGTAATTGTATATTGATTAGACAGACAATCCAGTCATCTGAATAACCCAATAACTGAAGTACAGTTGAACCCCCATGAATAGGCAGCTCTCTTAAATTGACACCCATTTGAATAGAGAAAGTTGAACAAAAACCTGTGATCCAAATTTTAATAAAACCAGGGGCGTCGCTAGCGGGGGTTGTGGGAGCGGGGGGTGGAACACCCCCACAATTGCCAGTGATTTGGCAAATTATTGAATTACCAGTCGGGAAATTGTTTTGCAGTCGGCAAAACTTGAATTGGATAGGAAGGAAAATACAAAAATATGCGAGTTACATCGATTAAAAACTATATGAATCGGCAAAATTGCACTTGCACCCCTCCATTGAAACAGGGCTAGCATTGCCCCCAGGCACCCAAAGGCATTACGTTAATAGGGGTTCAAGTTCAACTGTATCTTAATGAATAATGTTGATTCACAAATTATAATTTTGAACTTTCACTAATGGATTTTGTGGTATTAATTCTCATGCTTGAAAAGGCATCACAAAATTAGTAATATTCCGACATTTTGTTGCGAAATGTTGTAAAATGCGGATAATATAGCCCTGCGAAATTTGCCGTTTCTCAGCGGTCATTTTGTATTACTGACGTACGCCCGGGAAATTGGTACCTTTTTTCAGAAAGCGGTATCTGGTAACAAGCTAAGTTATGAAGACTACAAAACAATTTGAACAAATATACCAGCGGTTATAAGGTCTTTATTGACATGGTCAACAGTTTACACACATTGCTAAAGCTTAATATGGTACATTACACGCGTAACATGCATTGCATAAAGCAATACACCCAACAACTAAAGTACCAATATCTGTAAAATTTAGGTTTAGAAATTTTTTCTCATACCATTATTTATATCAAAAAACGTTCTAATTTTTTTTTATTTTGCAAATTTTGGGTCCCATTAAACTGAGGGCCCAGGGCAAATCCCCCCCCCCCCTTTCCCGCCCTCTGAAAGGCCCTGTCTTAAGGCACTTTTGATGAACTTGCAACACGCTTTCTTATGTAGAGCATGCACGTGTCATCCAAAAAGTAGTCGCAGTGAATTTGTGAGCACAACCCACATTCTAGTACTTTGGCCACACTTTCTTTAGATCAGTGGCGAAACTAGCCATGCATGGAACTGGTCATTGCTGTGTTGATAAACCTGCATCTAAAAACTTCTAAATAGTTGAAGACAATACATTTCTAAGGGGCCGATTACATGGAGAACTTTCAACCCCGTGGTTGAACTCAGCCCTGTTAATTAACCGGGTTGAAATCTTTTGCGATTACATGGACGATTTCAACCCCGGGGTTGAAACGCTATACTATACGTTCTCGGCGTCGATTCCCGGAAGTAAAAAAGCCTTTATTTTGTTTTCTTGTAATAAATAATCACTACCACGTATGCTCGAATAACTCATGATAATTTCAGCCCTGGGTTGAAACGATTATTATAAGTAATAGCATGGCTTGAGGGAGATTAGTGATTAAATGGCCCCGTAACCCGAGGCAGGTTTGCGGAATTCCCGAGGGCGAAGCCCGAGGGAATTCCGCAAACCTGCCGAGGGTAAGGGGTCATTTAATCACTAATCTCCCGAAAAGCCATGCTAGTAGTTTGTAATAGCATAGTTTCGCTCCCATTTAAAAATGGACAAACATGCCCTACTTGGAATCAGCGTATTTAAGCTAAAACATTTGCTTCATTGCTTGTGGGATGTAAAAGCTTGTTGCACATGCGCACTTTTTACGCTTTAATCGGTTACGCATGCGCAATCTATCATTTAACGTACCACAACAAAACGCTAAATATATTAGTATAAAATTGGAGACTGCACAAACGTAATTTAAATGATGCGGCAACTCAGGGATCGGATGATAGACTATTGACGGCTCTGAGCTAACTGTTGCTGTTCCTTGCACGATTATGTGCGTGAGGCACTTGCCTAATGCGTAGTCGTCAGGGAGACAAAGGTGTGACCCTTGGTAACGGGCGATTAGTTCTAATCGCCCGCTCTGGCGGGCGATTAGAACTAATCGCCCGCTACAGCGGGCGATTAGTTAGTAATCGACCCTGTTGAAACAAAAGAAACCCGGGCAACTATGCTATTACATGACAAAATTTTCAACCTAGGGCTGAGTTCAACCCCGGGGTTAACTCAGCCCTGGGTTGAAAATTTTGTTATGTAATCGCGCGTTTGATTTTGATAGAGTTTTGTATTACAGACAGGGCTGAAATTTCAACCCGGTAAACAGGGCTGCCTGAGTTGGAAATGCTCCATGTAATTGGCCCCTGAAGGTTTAAATAATGCAAGTCATTAAAAATTTTCATTGCATTACGTGTTGATGTGGTATAGCTTTGTCGATGGTTTAGATAACACATGACTCTAGTTGCAGCAAAAATTGCCTCGTGTATAACATGGCCTTTAGGCTCTTTTCCACTCATCGCAAAAACCAACTCGCAAGTTCGCTGCGAGTACTTTCATCCAATCACAATGCTCGAAAGTTTATTTTAATTAAATGCAATCACTCGCAGCGAGCTTGCAAGTTGGTTTTGCGATGAGTGGAAGGCAGGTTTGGCTTATGTTAAAAATTCCAACAAATGAACCATACCTGCAGATGTCTGTACTTGGTACGAACTGTCCCGTCAGATACAGAGTTGTAACTTTATGCAAAAGTCACCAAAGAAACACGTTAACTGTAGAGTAAAAATCTAGTTAAGTAAGGGCATTAGCTAGGGTACAATGTAACTTAACGATCGAGTTAAACAGTAGCCAAAATTACGTTCAGTTTACCCTATATAATTATGAATAACCATGCTATTCAGCCGGATAGCATTGCATACTTTGTGGCAAATGGAAATAAAGACTCGGCAACGTAACTTTAAAAAAAAAACTCGTCTCGCGTAATTTTTATGTACTAAAACTGTCTGCACCAGTGTTCGTAGTACCAATGTGAAATTGCTGTGCTGAGTGGTTATATTACTACCTGAAATAAACATGCAGAAACTCGACGTTTCGAGCGAAAGTAGGTAACCCCCCCATCCACCGACGGAAGTAATTAGTATTCAAGCGAATGTATGTATGACGTCATATCAATGACATCACCGGAAATACCCGCATAAATTATCAAGTATGAACGTTCAACTATTGCCGCATAAATTATGAAGTATGAACGTCTAACTATTCCCGCGTGAATTATGAAGTATGAACGTCCAACTGTATGTATGAGTGAGCAAGACCGTCAAGAAGAATCGTTAGCCGCACAATATGTGTTGGATTTTGATACGTCTCTTTTAGAATAAGGGAGACGTGCAAGATACACAAAAACGGCTCTTTTAAGAGCCACTAAATATACTAAAAGAATTAAACGAAACACTCGATTTCATATATTTATAGTATGCATCGATCAAGTTTCGCTAAGAGTCAATACCCCTAAAATGTGGACAAATCAAACGTGTGTAGTGTACACTTTTCTGAAAATCAATACTCCTCACTCGATGAACAGTTTTCCAGACCAAGACCAGTTTTCACTGTAGGGGATTTGCTGGTCACAACTTCAGTTTTAACAGTCAATGAAATAGCCCAAACATTTATAATGATAGTAATAAGTAAAAAAGACACAAATGTTATCGATAGAGTAAACGTTTGTTGTTAAACGTTGCTCCTGGGCAGCAAACGAAGATGTCGTGACCAGTAGTGCAAGTCCTCGCTGGGAGTCCGTACCGGTCTAACGTGTGGAAAAATCGAGTATAGTGTACTCTTTGCTGAAAACGAATTCTCCCCATTCGATAACGTTTTATTTTAGTTTACTTCTCTGTGAAATACATGAGATTTTTCTTCTTTCTCTTCTATATTTAATTACTAATTAGCGAGTTGAAATGAGCCATTAGATTTATTATATGCAAATGTTTTAAGTCAAACATCCCATGCACGCACATTTTGTTAACCGTTGGCAGTACTAAGGTTGCAAACCTTTAAGGGTGATATCGTCGCATTTAGCTTACTTCTCTGTGAAATACATGGTATTTTATTTATTTTGTACAGCTATTAACAGATAATTAGCGAGTTGAGATGAGCCATAATATTTATTATGTGCAAATCTTTTATGTCAAATTATGTTGAGATTAACAATGCTAAAACATACGCCTATTACCATAGGTATGAGTCTATGTATATTCTTCTGGACGAAGTTACACGTTCTCTTGTCTTTCTCGTTGAGCTCGTTCCAGTGTAAACTAATATCGAAAAAGAACGACGATGCTTCAGAGTCTCCGACCTTTATGACTCCCAACTCCTTACAGAAAAATTTCTTTCCAATTTGAAATCCGTCCATGTCAAGGATCCCAACGATGTCTGTTTTACACTGCATGTTGACTGATTGATTGTGATGTGAATTAGATTGTTTGAAACACTAATCTGCGTTCTTGCGTGCGATATAACTATCGCGTGTACAAAACGTTAATCCATGTGTTAATTTATGCATGCAGTCAACCAACGCGGTAGCTTTGGCAACAACAATTTGCTCTTAAAATCAGTGCGATTTATATAGGGACACCTCTCAAAGTGTCCTGAAAGCAAGTCCCGGGCGTCCCATGCATATGAGCACATGCTCATAAGTGCTCATGAGAACATGCTCATCTGCTCATAAAACTGCAATACTGCTCAATAGCAAGGCATTTCTGCACAGTCAGTGCTAACGGAATGAGCTGCCAATTTTGCGGAAAGCAATTTAATCGTGGTTACAATCTACGAAGACACGAAAAGGAATACTGTCCCCTAGGTGCACAAGAAAGGAACATGTCTCAAACGGACTTGGATAGCCAGGAAAGGGATTTTCAAGAC